GGCACATTCAAATCTTTATCACTAACCTTTTATTACAATTGTCAGTACAAGTATCATAACCTAATTTCTGTGTTCTTAATTGCATATAATGGTATTAAAATAAACTGAGTGTCATTTCTTTTCCACCAATAGATAAGTGAAGAAGATATGAGAAATCTCCTGTTTGGAGACTACATGAATCCTGACCTTGAAGGAGATGAAAGAATTTATTATGAAATTCCAAATATACAAATGTTCAGTGATGTTGTGGATCTATGTTTGGATGAATATAATCAAACTCATAAAACAAGAATGAATCTAGTAATTTTTAGGTGCGATAGCTTTGTACATTACTTTTGCCAACAATTATTCACAGAATACTTTTAGTCTAATGTAGTTTATTTCTATTTAGAAAAATACAAAGTATAATTTCTATTTGGTTTTGGTCACCACAATATAAAAAAGATTTTGAGACTCTGGAAAGAGTACAGAGAAGAGCAACAAAGATGATTAGGGGACTGGAGGCTAAAACATATAAGGAACAGTTGCTGGAATTGGGTATGTCTAATTTAATGAGGAGAAGGATAAGGAGGGACATGATAGCAGTGTTCCAATATCTCAGGAGCTGCCACAAAGAAGAGGGAGTCAAGCTATTTTCCAAAGCGCCTGAAGGCAGGACAAGAAGCAATGGATGGAAACTAATCAAGGAGAGAAGCAACCTAGAACTAAGGAGAAACTTCCTGCCAGTTAGAACAATTCGCCAGTGGAATAACCTGCCTCCAGAAGCGGTGAATGCTCCAACACTGGAAGTTTTTAAGAAGAAACTAATTTGTCCGAAATGGTATAGGGTTTCCTCCATGAGCAGGGGGTTGGACTAGAAGACCTCTAAGGTCCCTTCCAACTTTATTATTATTATCAACATCATCATCATCATCATCATCATCATCATCATCATCATCATCATCATCATCATTATTATTATTATTATTATTATTATTATTATTATTATTATTAATTTAACTTAGGAGCTTGCCCAGGCCGAGTCTGGTAGCAGTAGTTAATTACCTTATATAGAACTCCTGAATCATACTGACTTTTTTTCCCCAAAGTCAACAGATTGTATTTTTTATAAACTGTATAGATTTTGGAAATAAATTAGACAAATTTTACGTGCCACAATCAAAACATATTTTAAATAGTGTTATTCCCTTAACATGAGCATCAGGTTTTTTCCCCCAAGTCCTCGTTGTTTCTTTAATTTTCCAGAATTTTCAATTTAAGTAAAAGATAAGGAATGATGTGTTTCAGTATAGAGAATGAGAAATAATTCTTTATAAATATTTAGTTAACTAACATTCAGCCAAACCTGTCTATTTTTTCTTAATGTTGGGGGGCAGGCAGAATCTGAGGTTTTCCTTTTGTAAAATTATGTTAAATTTATATTACAGCTTATACCACTTTTTTAAAGTTTTCCATCTTTATATAAAAATGATTTGATTTTAATTGTAATGTTGTTTGCTGACATTGATATTTTTTGAATCAAAGGTATGTACTGGAACATTTATCTCGTATATGCCGTGTGCTCAAGCAATCTGGAGGTAATGCTTTACTTGTTGGAATGGGAGGAAGTGGACGACAATCCCTGACCCGATTGGCTACATCCATGGCAAAAATGAATATTTTCCAACCTGAAATTTCCAAGAGCTATGGAATGAATGAGTGGAGGGACGACCTAAAGGTAAAAACATATACAATTGAATTTATATTGCTCAAAGTCTTCTTAATGGTTTTAAAAAGATCTGAAGGACCAGACTTGGGACCAGTGATTCTGGAAAAAAATCTATTTTGTGGTGGCTAAGAGTTGATATCTCCTTGGTAGAACATAATTAATTAACTGTTTTTTTAGAATTATGTTTTTAAAACCACCCTGGAATAATTTATACAACCAGATGCCATGCAGGATTTTACCCATTAAACTTATATAGTTTAAAAGGTCAGTGAGAAATGAAATTTTCTGCATGCTGGAATACTGTACTTATTCCATGAGGTATTTGAGTTGAAGTGCTCTGTACTCTGGCAGTGGAAGATTTGCGGGGGGGGGGGGAGATTTGAAATGAGTAATACATGAATTATTCTAATGTGATAGATAATGATATTATACATATAATGCGTATACAGACACACATTCACACACACACACACACACATTTTATATATATACAAATTTATTAAATTTTTAAAAGAATAAAAAAATACAGATTTTAGAAATAAAAAGTAAAAAAAACTAATAAAGAACTAGGGAGAGGAGAGTCTTCATAACAGCAGTTACAACTACTTTGAGGTTCTTGGTGCTCTCTGAGCTTGGATGTTTTCTTGCAGACATTTCATTACCCAAGTAGGTAACAGTGTTGATGGTCATGGTAGTTCCTTAATGGGGTTATTGTCTCTATTGCACTGAATGCTTAATAATGTTTGTGTTACTTCTAGAACCTTCTGAGGAGCGCAGGTATGAAGGGCTTGAAGACTGTGTTTTTGATCACAGACACACAAATCAAAGAAGAAGGATTTTTAGAAGATGTTGACAGTGTGCTTAATACAGGAGAAGTACCCAATCTTTTTGCAGCTGATGAGAAACAGGAAGTTATGGAGGTATTCCCATATAATATTTCTCTTAAATATTATAATTACTTATTAGAATTATTTTTAAAAAAATACTAAGATTAGAATTTAAAATATTACCACACATGGCCACAACTAAGACTGCGGTTTAATTCTGCTTTATTTAAAAGGGAAATAACTTGTAAGTTGCTTAACCTCAGTTGAACCATGCCCCTAGTTGATAAATTAAAACCTATCTGTATATTATACTGTATAGATAATAATGCACCACTAATAGACTAATAGGAGGCCTTGTAACTGTAATGCAAGCTCTTATCACTTCTTGGGTTTACCGCTGCAAATATACTTTATATAGGACTGTTATTAGAGACTACTTGAAACCTACTGTTGCTGAAGAATGAAGTGCTCCCTGTCTAGTGGCAAGTGAGAATCAGCATAACTATATACAGCATTGGTTTTGCAATTGCTTTGTTGGCTTCAAAACACTTCTGGGGACAGTTCAGAGTCTGGTTTTAAAATACATAGTCCTTTACGGATTGGCACTCAGATATGGGATGCTGAAATTATCTCACATATATGAAGTTGGGGATGAGGAAGCAGAAGAAAATGTTTTTTGATTTTGACTTTATCTCTTGAAAATGATCTCCCCCAAGTCATTTGAATGTCACTCTTACTGATGGTTACTTGAAGGTAGTTAAGATAAAATTTACTATCAGAGCCTTTAATTCTTAGGAAATTACTGGGTTGTAGATACTAGAATAGGATGATGTTTTTATGTGGAATATTGTGAAGTGCCAGAACTCTTTGTAGAGTTGGTGGTATAGAAATATAATTAATAAAAAGCAAAAAAAGGAAATAGGACAAGTGTCTTAAAATATAATGCAGTTTAAATAAATCTTATCACTAGCTTCAATTGAAAAATATTAATATTTTAGATTTTTACAGTCCACTGCAGTTATTGAGATTAGGGAATTTATTTACAATCCAGAATCACTGAGAGTTGGACGCATACACATTTAATAAATTATTATTATTTGCATATTTATCAGTTTAATTAGCATCATTTTCTCAATCAGACATATATTTTTTACAAGTTAATTTCTTTTGATGAATACATTACAGTTCCTATTAGTAGTCAGATTGCTTTCCAAAACTAGATTTTGGAACTGGGTGATTTACTTCTGTGCTTTATTTTCTAGGGAGTTCGTGCTGTAGCCCAGGCAGGCTATAAGCATGAAGAGCTTGGTCCGTTGGCCTTATTTGCTTTCTTTGTGAACCGTTGCAAAGACAATCTCCATGTTGTAGTAGCTTTCAGTCCAATTGGAGATGCTTTTCGCAATCGACTGAGACAATTTCCATCTCTCATCAACTGTTGTACTATTGACTGGTTCCAGGTTTGTAGAAATACTTAGAGTGATGTCAGTATATTTACCAGGCTCATAAAAACTTGCTTTTTACTCTCTTTGATGTTGATAATGTTTTTCGTAGATTTTATGAATGTTAAAAAGATTCTGTCTTACAGAGAATAATCCAACTTTGAATTATTAGTAACTGTTAGCAGTCACTTGGAATGGATGCTTGTATACTACATAGATTTTTTTAAAAGTCTCTTAAAGCATCTCAGTGCCATTCAAAAATATATTCTTTTATACTATTGAATGATATAGTGGAATTCCACTATAAACTACATATTCTAGGATTATATATATATATTTTACTCCAATATGATCATAGTGGGGAATGGTTCTTACCTGACCTATTTTGTTGTGTATAGTCATGTGTAGTGTAAAACAACACCTTATTGTTTTACCTTGTTTATGTAGTGAACAGAGTGGATTAATCACTTCTCTTTCATTTACTGTCATTCATTATATTCTATGTAGAATATGGGATGGGGGGATCCAACTTTCATCTACTTACTACTCTAAACATGGTTAGAGAACAGTATGGAGATATTTTATGGGATCCAAAAAATCCCTGGACATGGTCTTGTGGTGCCTGAGGTAGATTGTTAATATGTAATACAAAGGAATACATATGGAGTAAAATAAATACAATAAAATGAATGTGTAAGAGGAAAATTCATCTGTTGACTAAAAAAAAATTAAATGGTTTTTTCCCCACTATTTGTCGAGATGGTTATTATATTGATTAAGACCTTATGTGAAATACAAGAAAAAGGAATATCTTTGGAATGAGGTAATGTGAATCTTTTTCCAATTTCTTTGCTCATCTGCAATTGACAAATTTCATGACAAACTGTTAGTGGAATGGAGTAGCAAATACAATGTATAATAAGACACATTATAAGAAAACTTTATATCCTTGTGCTTACAGCCATGGCCTGAAGATGCTCTTGAGCGTGTGGCTATTAAATTCTTGGAAAAGCTTGAGCTCACAGAAAATGAACGTCAAGAAGTGGTTCCCATTTGTAAACATTTCCATACATCTGTGTTATCACTTTCTGAAAGGTTAGCTTTCTATATAGGTTTATGCTCCTAATATAAATGCAAAAGAAGGCATTCCAGCATATAAAACAAAATTGGGAGGAGGGATCATTTGAAATTTCCCTGGACTCTACAGGAAATGCTTCTAAGACTGTCCAGTAAAAGATAATTTACAATAGGCTACTATTGGACATCTTACTTTTCCAGCTGGGAAGCCCTTGACTCTTCTATCCAGAACTTCTTCATTCACCTCGGCTCTAGGAGAATAGAAAGGAAAGTGTTTTGAATCTTCTTGGTTAAAGCCTAGAACCATAGAATTTAACAAACCATGTGCCAGCACAGAAATGCAAGAGGCAAATGCAAGAGGCATTGCCATGGGGAAGATGTTATTGAAAAACTCCCTTAGAAAATGAGTGAAGATTAACCTCTTGATATAAAAGGGAATATATTGGGGAAAGGGAAATATTCGATGTGTGTGTGTGTGAAAGGAGGCAATGATCCCCTTTGCAAAATTCCAGATAAAATCAATATAATAAGGTTAGATTACATACTGTTTATGTATTACCTTCTCAAATAAATTCTGGCTTGGGCTCTGGCTTTCACTGTAAAGGGATGGTTAAAGCAAGAACATCTGGATCTCTTCTTGGATTTTTGTTCTTTTATTGCCTCTTCTCTCAGATTTTCAGAATGTGGGGGATAAGTGAAAGTGAGCCTCTTTGAGGATATTGACTAAATAATATGAATGTCTGTTTTTCATATTTGGCTCTAACCAGCAAATCTGAAACTATCGGAAGTTATCCTACTTTCATAATGCATTTTGAAGGAAGTATATAGGAATAGTCTGGTTTTAGCCATATTATTCCATTATATAAATGGGATTATATGGGAAGCAAAAGCTGAATTACCCCTGTTCAAGCCTTTCAATGTGGAGTCGATTTATCAAATGCTTTAGGGGGTCACTGGTTTTATTATAATAGCCATTCCAATTATAATTTCCTAATTTAAATGTCTTGCTTATTCTGCTACATACACATAGGGAAAGGAACAAGCATATATATATTTATTATCAAACAAAATAGATCTTTTTCTTTGAATCCTTGTTAATTAATGCATTATTTTTATTGATGCAGATTTTTGAACGAGTTGGGACGACATAACTATGTTACACCTACTTCCTACCTTGAACTTATTGGTTCCTTCCAACTTCTTTTGACGCAGAATCGTGATACTATCATGAAGGCAAAAAAAAGATATACTAATGGATTAGACAAATTAGCTTTTGCTGAATCTCAGGTGAATCAATAATAAAAGTACACTTTTGCCTTGTGAGAGTAGCTTCATAATTTCAAAATCTTAGCTTTTTCCTTTATTTTAATTGGGTTGTTTCTAGTGCTATTTGTTTTAAATAAAAAGTTCTTGTTACTATTTGCATTTATTTCAAGAAATATAATTACATTTGCATATGATTTGATTTGTTGTTGTTGTTGTTAGTTGCGAAGTCGTGTCCGACCCATCGCAACCCCATGGACAACGTTCCTCCAGGCCTTCCTGTCCTCTACCATCTTCTGGAGTCCATTTAAGCTCACACCTACTGCTTCGATGACTCCATCCAGCAACCTCATTCTCTGTCATCCCTTTCTTCTGTTGCCCTCAATCTTTCCCAGCACTAGGCTCTTCTCCAGTGAGTCCTTCCTGCTCATTAGGTGGCCAAAATACTTGAGTTTCAACTTTAGGATCTGGCCTTCTAAAGAGCAATCAGAGTTGATCTCTTCTAGGACTAACCGGTTTGATCGCCTCGCAGTCCAGGGGACTCGCAGGAGTCTTCTCCAGCACCATAGTTCAAAGGCCTCAATTCTTTGGCGCTCAGCCTTTCTTATGGTCCAACTTTCACAGCCATACATTGCAACTGGGAAAACCATGGCCTTGACTATACATACTTTTGTTGGCAGGGTGATGTCTCTGCTTTTTAGTATGCTGTCTAGATTTGCCATAGCTTCCCCCCCACCCAGGAGCAAGCGTCTTTAATTTCTTGGCTGCAGTCCCCATCTGTGCTGATCTTGGAGCCCAGGAAGATAAAATCTGTCACTACCTCCATTTCTTCCCATCTATTTGCCAGGAATTGAGAGGGCCAGATGCCATGATCTTGGTTTTCTTAATGTTGAGTTTCAAGCCAACTTTTGAACTCTCCTTGATTTGTATGGCAGGCAAGAAATTCCTAGCATGTTTACCCATAAATAAATATCATTGGTTCAGAGGATCTTCTCCAAAATCAATGAGTTTTAAGATTGTAATCCCAATGGTACATAATAAATGTTTTATTTCTTCTTTCTAGTTTGTGAATATTAAACAATTCATGTTCAACTACTATTGGTTTCAGGTTGGTGAAATGAAGAAAGAACTTGTGGGTTTGCAACCTAAATTGGAGCAAGCAAAAGTGGATAATGCAGCCATGATGAAGGTAAAATTTCTGATGCTCAGGATAATGTGGCTATTGTAGTATACAATCAAAGTATCATACTAATTATAATATTTTAATGATATGGTGATTTTATAGCTTTGTGTTAGAAAATTTGTATTTTTTATGATTTTTAGGCTAAACTATTCATACTGAAATGTTGGTAAATGTTCATCATTCTAATATCATTTTGTGGGGGTCAATCACAAAAATAAAGATTTTGCTTTGCTGTGCTATGCTATACATGGCAAGCCAGTGATGTAAATGATAGTGGTTAGCTTACATTAGTGTTAAATAAAAGTCAGATGGCAAACTACAATCTCTAATGCTTCAGATCAGTTTCAAAACTATTAGGAATTATAGTAATTATTAATTAATAAATAATGTCTTGGTTTTTCTCCTCTCAGGTTTTTGTAATGTTAGCTGTCCCAATTGCCATGACAACTATCCATTGTCAA